GACAAAGACAAGCAAACAAAATATCTAAAATTAGGGCTATTTCTTACATTCCAGGGGCTCAACGATACCCTCCAACACACTAACTCTTCAGTTTGTTCTTAGTTCAGTTTTTTTTTTTAATCAAACTCTACCTGTCTGGCAAAGATATTACTAAATTTTTAGTGATTCAATTCTTTGTCTATTAATACATCATTTGACAATATGCTATCAAAGTAATAATTAGCAGTAGTACCATAAGATTTCTTGTGGAACTTTTAAAGTAGTAGCTGAGTTCTTTGATTAGTTAAAAAAACTATTACTTTTGTTGATGGGATGCCTGGGTGGCTCAGTCGTTAAGCGCCTTCGGCTCAGGTCATGATCCCAGGGTCCTGGGATCGAGCCCCGCATCAGGCTCCCTGCTCAGTTGAGGAGCCTGCTTCTCCCTCTCCCTCTGCTGCTCCCCCTGCTTGTGCTCTCTCTCTCTGACAAATAAATAAAAATCTTTAAAAAAAAAAAAAACTATTACTTTTGTTGACTTTTAAGTTAAATCAAAACTATTTCCTGAGCAGCTTCAAGGAAAGAACCATGAATAAAACTCTTATAATGACATTTCAGAATCATGTGTGGCAACCATGCAGATTAGCACTGACACAATGTCCAAGAGCTACTAAAGATAGACCTTATGCAATTGGGCAAAATGAGCGGGTGGATAATTTTTTTTTAAGTAGGGCCGTGACCTCTGAGATCTTCTGTTGTTTTCACTATGATCTATAAACTGAACAAAGTGCTATTTTCTTTCTCATAGCAGTAGTCCTTTACTTGTATAGGAACAAGGCAGTGTATAGGAATGAAGGCATAACTCCTGTTTTTTTTTTAACAGCAAATATGGACTACCTATGCCTCCTCTCCTATGTCCCATGTCCAACCAAGGTAAACAATTGCTATGGCAATTCAGAGTTCTAATTTTTGACAGTTCTAATTTGCCACAACATTTTTTGATGATCTAGGAGTCTGCTGTGGAATCCTTCTAATCACATTGCTCAGCAATAATTAAATTGCTACCAATTAACTGGAGCTGACAAGCAAGATGGAACTTGACTGCCATTGCTGGTCAAGACCTTCCTTTTCCACACTTGATTTAAGGCAGGCATCATGTAATTTTCCTTGAGATAAAAAAGTGAACTGAGAATATAAAGATAACCAGAATTACGTTCCTCCTTTAAAGAGCTCACAGTGGAGTATGGGGGACAGATATGTGGAATAAGTGAGGTTCCTTCACATTCACACTTTAATCTGATTGTACAATTTAAACAAGAAAGGGGAGGGGCACCCAGGTGGCTCAGTTGGTTGGGGATCTGCCTTCGGCTCGGGTCGTGATCCCGGGGTCCTGGGATCGAGCCCCGCATCAGGCTTCCTACTCTGTGGGGAGTCTGCTTCTCCCTCTGCATGCCACTCTCCCCTGCTAGTGCTTGCTCTCTAATAAATAAGATCTTTAAAAATAAATAAATAAACAAGAAAGGGGAGATGGGAAAGAACACATGCTTAATCTATGTCATCCTATGCAAGTACATGGGAGTACAAAGCTTCTACCTCCTACCCAAACTGAGACCAGGGCAGATAAACGTATTTCACTCAAAATACAGGTATTTGACTCTGCTTTTTCAGCTGTAAATTTTATGAAGTCTAAATACAGATAAATATTTCCAATGGGGGGGGGAAACGTATTTCATTCAGTCACCATACTGAGAATGATCTCTTCAAAATGTCACAATTAAGAGAGATTTAATGTTAACAATAAATACAAAAATTTAGCCAGTTAGGCATAAAGAGCCAAAATAACTGGTTTACTAGAGATCCTGTATTGGACATGGAGCAAATCCAAGCATAGCACTGGGATGCATGAAGTTACCATATAAAAAATTTAAGAAAATTCTTCCATGATCCTCAAAATGAATCTCAAAAGTCCAACGTCCAGCAACGGACTCCACAAGTTAGAGGGATGTGGAGAAAGTGGAAGGGATTCAACAGAGAGTCACAGAGATGATTAAAGGGTTAGGAAAATGGGAGCTAGAAATTATTTAGCCTAAGTTAGAGAAGACTACCAGGTTTCTTAATAACAGTATTCAAGCATAGGAAGGGTTGTTATATACCAGATGATGAACAGTTGCTTTCTATCTCAACTGGAGAGGGGACAGAAGAAATAGACTTTGATTACAGCATGAAATATCTAAGTTAGACATAAGGAAGAACTTTTAAGAATGAGGATTAGTGGATAAGAGACCTCAGGATCCTCTTATTACACCTGTTCCTTAAATGATACTGTTTCACAGGGTCATTTTTAAATTTTTTCTCTTTTCACTTTGTCCTTAATTTATTTCATTTACACTGATTTAAATTACCTATTATAACTGATAATCCCCAACCACATATATGTTTGGGGATATTTATATATAATATATATTATAGTGTATAAATAGTATATATACAGTATATAGTATCCTACAGTACATAGTATATACAGTATGTACTCTGGTATAGTATGGTGTGTGTATAGTATACTATAGTATAGTTTAATATAGTATATATACTATATATATGTCCAATCCAGACTACTTTCCAAATGCCTCCTGGACATCAAGCTTCTATCCTTTACCTGTTCTACTGCAATAGCATCGTAACTGATAACTCTGTCTCTCAGTCTTGAATTCCATTCTCTCGTCTATATGATGGTCTGAACCTTTCTATCTATAAGCAAGTCCAATCATTTCCCTGCTTACAATTTTCTGATAGATCCCATCATTTATTTGCTTTCCATCATTTGGTCCCTTAACCTATCCAATATCATCCCTTGTCATTCCCCAAATGTTATTAATTCCAAGATAATTTCACTCCTTTCATCCTACTGTGCTTTTACAGATCTGTGAGTCTTGGTACTCTTCACTCCTCCTAGAACACACCTTCCCCCTTCTTTTTGTGTTCAACTTCTACTCTTCAGTTCCAGAAATTTTTCACTGACCTTACCACACTGGACTAGTGACCCTCAATAAATGCTCATGAATTTCCATGAAAACTTGCCTTGAATACTTTAATGTCATTGTTTGTATTAGTAAGAGCCTTTCCAGACTTCAGATTCAGTAATTGCTCATTTAGAAAACATCTAGGTAGCTTGCTGACAGAATCTAGAGATCAACCTTCAAAAGTGGTATATACCAGACTCTTGTGTTTACACACTTGATTCCAGCTGCTGCTTATCTGACACTCCTTGCATCATTTCTTCAGACATTTCCATATCACTTTGCCACTACTGGGCCCAGTGCCCTTTCTTCCATCTCTAGGCCTGGCACAATTATGGATACATACTTAGGCACTTTATGTGCATCCTCTCCAACTCATTTCTTACATCACTCCTGTGAGGCAGGATTAGTGTGCCCATTTTACAGGTGAAAAAGTCACCACCTGTCCACAGATGACATATATGTATGTGCATGTGTGTATACACATATATTTATGAGACATATAAGCTATGAGCTGTAGCCTACTTAACATGCTCACAAATATCTCAAAAGAAACTCAAAATGAAATTTCCAAACATGATTTCATAACTTTACCCCCAAACTTTGCTCTTCTGATGTTACCTGTTTTAGTGACTGCTGTCGGACACTTAAGAGTCCACACTTTGCTCTTTTTTAATCTCCATATTCAATCCCTCACCAATTTATATAAACTTTCCCTCCCAGATTCTCTCTTAAATTTGTGCAGTTCTGTCCACCTTTACCATTATTAATCTAGTCCAAGTTTTCATCATCTCTTATAAACCTCTATTTCCTCTGGTCCTCATCGTATCTGTTACCTGCAGCCGAGATGATCTGAAAACCCAAATCTGTTCATGGTACTTCATGCTGTCCCTTCTTACTACTGAATTCAAAAGTCCTTTAGCAGTTTCCCATTGCTCTTATCAAAAATATAAATTTAAAACTGCTATTCAATGGATCACATCCACTTCTTCTCAAACCCGCCTTTTCTCACATCCTGCTCCCTCCCCCTCAGCTGCTCTGGCCACTGGTGCTTGCTTCCTGTCATTCAAACCTGAGCTGACCCGTTCTTCTGCAGGCCTCCACACAGGCTGGAAAGCCGTCTCTCTTCTCCATGTCACCCAGTTAACTCTTCATCATCCTTCAGATGCCACCTTCCCAGAGAACTTTCAGGTTTGAAAATCACCCTCAAAAGCCAAGTCTTATCCTTCTGTTATAAGCTCCAAAACCACGTTTTTTCTCCTTCTTCCCTCTCTTCTTCTTTACATTTGTTTTTGTGATTATTTGATTGTCAACCTCCTCCATGAGACTGTAAGCATCACGAGAGCAAGAACTGTCTATTCTTGCTCACTATTTTATCTCTAGTACTTATCTCTACTACCTGCATGTAGTGTTTGAAGAACTGAATAAATTAATTTGTTGGCTTATATTTGCCAGGCACTGAGCTAAGTGCTTTACATGTATAATTTCATTGAATTTTCACAACAGACTTAGAAGGTTACTACCTTTCTATTATTAGCTCCATTTTAGAAATGAGAAAACCAGGGTCTAGATATACTCGGTAATTTTCCCAAGTCTGGAAAAATGAAAACTGAAGTCCTCTACGGTAAAACAATAAGCCCATCACTTGTGGATAGCTTTGCACACGTGTGTATTAACTAATGTGACACTGAGCACATGAGCAGGAAGAAGTCTCTGAATCATGAATTGATCATTTGTGTCTCTTAAGCAAACCCGAAAATCCTGAAATATATAAGAGTCAACAACAGAATCCCACGGTTGTTAGGTCAGGTTACTTAAACAGAAGAAAAAAAGTAGGCTCAAACCAGTGAGCCTACTGGTTCCACTGACCAGTGAGGCATAATACCTTTGCACAGTACAACATCGACTGTGACTGGCCGGGGGGAATAGATCTCAGAGCAGTCAAAAAACTTATCAAGTCAAAATGAATGAATTGATTCTCATTTCACCAAAAAGAAAACAACTTACCTCAGTCATGTCAACTGTCCTCGTCCATGCAGAAGCCTATGCTGAGCCCTTGTCAGTAGTGCAACTACTTTGAGCAGTTTATCCGAAAGTGCTTATGAATTTTTTTCTTTCTCCACCCACACTGTCTGGTCCACTCCTTTTGAAAATAGAGTCATGATGGCACAGCCACTCTTTATGGTTCTTGTCGCAGGAGTAATATCTCAAAGGTTGAGGCAAATTTTATGTTGGCTGATCATGAATATACTTGGAAGAGCTTCATCTTCATTTCTGGAAGATGCATCAAGGATTTTTAAATTATCATTATCATCTTTTATGAAATTATTTTCATCATGACTACTGAATTCTCAATAGACCTGAGAGGCTGTTGGATATGCAATCTTTAGGTTACGGTCAAGAAAGTCTTTAGAAGTCCCACTAGCTTTTCAGGCAGGACTTCGAGAAGTAGAAGTAATTCGTTGATCTCAGTAATATTGTCTCAGATCTGCAACTCAGTCTGGAGCATCCCAAAACTGGGCTTTTTCACTATATTGAAAATATATTAGATTTTGGACACTATCTCAAACTAATTCAGAAGAGTTTGGCAATTCATTATTTTTTAGTAGAACATTTACCTGGCAGAGTAACCTACCTTGTTTATGTTTACTAAGAGAATTTCTTCCTAGTGGGTGAATCTACATAGGAAGCCAAATTAAAGACGAAATTGTTGAATGAGCATATAATTAGGAATTAGATGTTATTAAGAAGTGTCTGATTTACTCGTTTCCCTGCTTAAAAAGTCTTTCAGTCTTTCCATCACTTTCAGGATAAAAAACAAACTCTTTATTGATGTTTCCCCATTCTTTCTTTACAAATCTCACCTCGAGCAGTCCTAGAGTCTAAACACACTGAACTTAAAATGGCCTTTTTTTTTTTTTTTAAGATTTTCTTTATTTGACAGAGGGAGACACAGTGAGAGAAGGAACACAAGCAGGGAGAGTGGGAGAGGGAGAAGCAGGCTTCCCGCTGAGCAGGGAAACTGATCTGGGGCTCCATCCCAGGACCCTGGTACCATGACCTGAGCCGAAGGCAGACGCCCAACAACCGAGCCACCCAGGCACTCCAAAATGGCCTTACTTTTAGGATAAATATCCTTTTATTTTGGCCAAATTCCTATTTTCATCTATGTTCCCTAGCAATTCAACTTTTAAAACCAGCAATAGTCATTCTATCCTCCATGTTTCCACAGCAATTTTACATATCTCTATCAATACTTGACCATTATAATTATCAATTTACATATTCCTCTCCCTCACTGAAAGGTGAGTTTCTTGGGGGTTGGGACAATCTTATTTATCTACTAAATCCTGATGTTCAGTACATAGCAGAAACTCAAAAAATGTCTTTAAAGTGATTGTTGGCTATGTCCACTAACCTAGATAGTAAACTGGCTATCTCCATTCCTCAGTAATTTCAGAATATTCTGTTTTATAAAATAAACATTCCTCTTTACATTCTATTAGACCAGTGGTTCTCTCAGGGTTTTGAATTTTGTGAGTTAGTAAAAATAACTTTTTAAAAACATTTTAGGGAACAATGAAGAAAAGAACATTACAAATAAAGCTACGGTCCATTAACATCATAATTTCAAAATATATCTTAAGTCTAAACCATGAGAAAGGATATAATTTAATATAATAATCTTTTAAATTGAGCAAATTTAACTTTATGAAAATTTTTCTAGTTTTTTTTTCATTTCACTATCAACTGGTGAAAAATAGATCAATGTCCTCCCCAAAATAATTCTGAAATACTATGTACCCTTTTATACATTTTTAGGGCAGCATCTGAGATATTTTCATTGTAAGTTCAAATTGTTGTAATGAATGTCATTTCTGGCACGTTATAATATTCACAATACAAAATAAAATACCTTAGAAAATCCATCCAATGGAATCTATATACCATAATTATTTAATACCCATTATTCATTTAAAAATATATGAACAGTTGAAAAATTTACATTATTCCTTTTTATTTCCATTCCACTTCCAGAGTTTTACAATATGACATTTATACTCAGAAGTCCATTATCAATTGAAATTTAATTTCAAAAATTTCTGGACCTTATATGTCCTAAAAATATCCTGAAATGAGCTACCATTATAATTACTAGTGTACATTTGGTCAAAGCAACATAAATATATTGATATTAAGCATGATATAAAGATTTATTGAAAATACATTTCTTAATTAGCTAAGTTTCTTCAACTAATTAATGTGGTCAGAATTTGTTTGCTAGGCTGAGAAAGGGTTCGTCATACATTTTATTCCTTTTTTTCTTCTTTTTAAGACGTGCTGAGACTATTTGTTCATGAAAAATTATGAATGATGGGAATAGAAGTTTGTTTTAGCTACGTCACAAAATTCTTTAAACTCATTCCAAGTTATGTGCAAAAAATCCTTAGTGATCTATTGTTGAAAACTATTTTTAATGATTAACTGACACTTTGGTTAAGTCCTTCAGTTTCATTGAAAGGAAAAGCTGAAAACCATCTGCAAAAGTGTAGCTACCAAGTAATTAGGGACATTTTACTTCTGTCTCTGGTGCCCCTTTTCCATCTTAGGACAATGTTAACACAGTTAAGATTAGGAGTGGGTGAAAGGTGTGCCTCTTTTTGGTGAAGGGAAAAAAGGATGATTGGGCAAGGTGAGGCGGGTTCTTTAGCAGCTCAGTTTTGGAAAAACAGGGCATATGGAGGTTGAAAACCTAACCACTAATTCTCTTAAAAACTATCTATGTGCTGCTCACACATCTCTTAGAAATTCCTGGTGTACCTCCAGAGCTGAGTATACCCCAGTTTGAAGAGCACTGGGCTAGACCTGAAAGTATACGAATTCCATTAGCTTTAGTTTCAAAGTGTGATATTTTCTTTTTTAAGATTTTATTTATTTATTTGCGAGAGCACAAGCAGGGGGAGGGCAGAGGTAGAGGGAGAAGCAGACTCCCCACTGAGCAGGGGGCCTGACGCTGGGGCTGGATCCCAGAACTCTGGGATCATGACCTGAACAGAAGGCAGCTGCTTAACTGACTGAGCCACCCAGGCGCCCCCAAATTGTGGTATTTTCTGACTTTGACATTACCTCCAGATTCTAGGGGCAGTTAACTTATTTGGAATTTAAGCCCCCTATGAAATTATTGCATGAAGTTGTGTAGAAAGCCTGGGTGGCTCAGTCCTTGAGCGGCTACCTTGGCTCAGACCCTGGGATTGAGCCCTGCATCCCTGCATCCGGCTCCCTGCTCTGCGGGAAGCCTGCTTCTCCCTCTCCCACTCCCCCTGCTTATGTTCCCTCTCTCACTGTGTCTCTCTCTGTCAAATAAATAAAATAAATTCTTAAAAAAAAAAAAAGAAAGCCCTGCTTTAGGACTTTTCTTCATAGCACTGTACCTTTATGGCCCTGGCCATCTTTCTCCCTTCCCTGTTTTCTCACATGGTCCTTCTGAAGGTAACTGGTTTGCATTTGTAAACTTAGGAAAGAGGATTAGCATGAAATCTGTGGCTACTGATCAGAGCCTAGTTAATCAACCTATCAGGAAAATCAATTTGTGAACCAAACAGTATCTTTAAATATTTGAGATGGATCTCCTATAAAAATTGATAATGTATATGTGGTTTTAGTAACTGAGTTTTCTTTTTTTTTTTAAGATTATTTATTTATTTGACAGAGAGATAGAGCAAGAGCACAAGTAGGCAGAGAGGCAGGCAGAGGGAGAGGGAGAAGCTGGGGCTCGATCCCACCTGGGATCATGGTCTGAGACAAAGTCAGGCGCTTAACCGACTGAGCCACTCAGGCACTCCAGTAACTGAGTTTTCAATAAAAATAAATATTAAGGGGCGCCTGGGTGGCTCAGTCGTTAAACGTCTGCCTTCGGCTCAGGTCATGATCCCAGGGTCCTGGGATCGAGCCCCACATCGGGCTCCCTGCTCCACGGGAAGCCTGCTTCTCCCTCTCCCACTCCCCCTGCTTGTGTTCCCTCTCTCGCTGTGTCTCTCTCTGTCAAATAAATAAATAAATAAATAAATAAATAAATATTAAACCTCTACCCCTACTTCATAGTTCTCATTCTTTACAGCCAATATAAAAAATTCATATTGTAAAAATAATCTATTTTTGTACAACTCACATATACGAAGAAGGCATTTTATTTTTTACTTCATCTTTCTCAGAGAATAGTGAGCTAACTCCTATTTGTGAGTAATTAAAACGCAGAGAAACCGCAATCACAAAATGGTTAGCTATCATTAAACTCTGAATTTTCAAATATTTTTTAAATGCTACTCACCTAATTTTTAATTTTTTTAAAATTTTAAGTAGGCTCCACACTCAACATGGGGCTTGAACTCACAACCCTGAGATCAAGTCACATACTCTACTGACTAAGCCAGTCAAAGCACCCCTGATACTAAACCATAACTTCACAGGGATGCCTCAGTGGCTCAGTTGGTTAAGCGTCTGCCTTCAGCTCATGATTCCAGAGGCCTGGGATCAAGTCCCGCATAGGGATCCTTGCTCAGCGGGGAGCCTGCTTCTCCCTCTGCCTGCTGGAGGCTCCCCATTTGTGCTCGCTGATAAATAAATAAATAAAATCTTTAAAAAATAAAATAAAACCATAACTTCACAGTTAAGCAACATTTCATTTGTGTGTATTTTTTAATAACCTAGTATAGAAGATGTAATTGGAATTATTTTTATTCACTAGCTTTAGTTCTCAAAAACCTCAAAACAATCTTCCTACAACTGTACACTTTATAGAAATGCCTTACATTGTATAGCATACAAATATTATCAGCACTTCACACCTACGGTATTTCTGCTCTACTAGTTTATTCTGCTCTGATCAATTTATTCTGATCTACATTTTAGTCTTTTGTTGAAGTCCAAGATTGTGTATACCTAGTGTTTGCAAATTTGTGCATTCATATATTGATTCATTTGACCAATCCTTACTGATTGTGATGTCCCAGTCACTGTTTCTAGATGATGGAAATACAATATCGAGCAAAGCCAGAAATACTCCTTGCCCTCATGGAGTTTCGGTTTACTGAGGGAGCATGCAATAATCAAATAATTACACATGTTTAAAAATTGCAATTATGACAAGTACTGTGAAGGAGAATTAAAAAATGCTAGGAAAATCTGCAACAGGATATTTGAATATTAGTGGGTGTGGGTGGTTAGGAAAAGCTGCCCTGAGGAAGTGATCTAAGGATGACTGTGAATTAATTAGGAGAAAGGAGGGAAAAACATTTCTGACTGGAAACAGCCTGTACAAAGGCCAGGCAGGTAGGTGTAGGTATCAAAGCAAACATGAAGGAAAGAAAAACGCTAGCTTCAGGAGGAGTGTCAGCAGCGGGGTGGGGGGGTGGGGTGGGGGAACCAGACATGAGATGGAGCTAGAGTATGAAAGTCAGCCAGACCTCCCTGGACTCTACAGGCCAGTGTTTTGGAAGTGTTTTGATATGTAGACCAACAGAAAATAATTGAGACCTTTGTAGGGTTTTAAGCATGAGCGTGGGTGGGGTGATAGGATCAGATCTGCATTCTGAACAGATTACTGGCTTCACTGTAGGAATGGATTAGAGGGCAGGGCGAGAATGTATGGTTTACTGAGATAGATGCTTCTCTGAATATTTGCATGTAAACTTGAGACTTTGAAACTTCAGCTTTTAAAGAGATTGGGATTTTCTAAGAAAAGAAACACTGGTTTTTGGCTTTTAAATCTTTTATGTTTATTTTTTAGGGGCAAGGCAAAATGGGTTCACAGTGAGTACAGAAAAAGAAGAATGAATAGTACTCCTTCCCAGAAGTCCTGGGAAAAAGCATGTCATTGATCATCAAAGTTAACTTTTTCTCCCAAAATGAAAATAGCTCTATTGATTTTTTGGGATTATATACCCAATATAGATTATATTCTCAATATAGAGCAGTACAGAAAATGTGTCAAATTTTTTTCAAAACTGAAATTCAACTATTATCATCCCCATTCTGGTGACTATCCTTTTAAACTACTTTCCATGCTAGTATCCACATATGAAGTTATGTATATATTCTAGGGACCATTGCTATCAATAAACATTAATGGTTGAATTAATTATTCCTATTATATATGTTAATTATTGCTTTTTTTCACTCAACACTAAGCCCTGGACTCATAAAATGCCACATCAACCTTTTTAATGGTTGGTCAATAATTCATTATAAGCATGTACCATAATGTATGTAAATAACCCCATATTGATAAAAGTTCAAGTTTTTTAGGCTTATAAACAGTGCTACAATTAATGTCCTTGCACAGACATCTTAATATACCTGTCTAGAATAAATTTCTAGAAAGGAAAATTGCTAGGTAAAAAGATATATATTTTTTTCTATTTTGATACATACAGCCAAACAGCCTACCAGATAAGTTATTCTACATTCCCATTTACTTTACTATACCTCTGATGGATTAAAAAATTATTTATCCACTGGTGTTTTTCCCCCCCCACTGGTGTTTTTTATGCACACTGCTCTGATTACTAGCCAAGTCTGCATACCTTCCAGTATGTTAACTAGTCATTTGTATTCCTTCTTATATAGTTTTCTATGTCTTTTGCACATTTTTTTCTTCTACTAGATATGTGTTTGACCTATTGATTTACAAGAGCTCTTTGTATATTAGTGATATTAAGCCTTTGTCATATATATCCCAGATTTCTTTTTCCTAGAACACCTAAAAAAAAAAAAAAAACCTCTATTATGTCTCTGAAAAACTTTTGTTTTAAAAACTTTTGTTTTGGGGTGCCAGGGTGGCTCAGTCGTTAAGCATCTGCCTTTGGCTCAGGTCATGATCCCAGGGTCCTGGGATCAAGCCCCTCATCGCATCGGGCTCCCTGCTCCAAGGGAAGCCTGCTTCTCCCTCTCCCACTCCCCTGCTTGTGTTCCCTCTCTCACTGTCTCTCTCTCTGTCAAATAAATAAAATCTTAAAAAAGAAAAACTTTTGTTTTATAATTTTATATAGTCAATTCTGTCAGAGCTTTTTCTTTAAAGCTCTAGTTTATATGTTCTACTTAGAACTAGGTCTTTCATGGGCCAATATTATCAAAATACTTCCCTAACTGGGGGCGCCTGGGTGGCTCAGTTTAAGCGTCTGCCTTTGGCTCAGGGCTCAGATCATTATCCCAGGGTCCTGGGATCGAGCCCCGAGTCGTGTAGGGCTCCCTGCTCAGCAGGAAGCCTGCTTCTCCCTCTCCCACTCCCCCTGCTTGTGTTCCCTCTCGCTGTGTCTGTCAAATAAATAAAATCTTTAAAAAAAAAAACACTTCCCTAATTGTATTTTCTTTTGGTACTTTTTACACTTTTGAGAGCATTTCTGGAGGGCAATCAAATGATACTGACTTTATGAAAATGTTTATTCCTCTTGCAAGAAATTCCCCTTTTAGGATTTATCCAAAAGAAATAATAGACACAAAGTTTTAGTTTCAAGAATATTCACTAAAGAATTGTTTATAATCACCAAAAAAAATGTAAACAATGATAAATCCAACAATAGAAGACCGGTTAAATAAATTATGGTATATCCATAGCCATTAAAATGACACTAAAAATATTTAATCATATTAAAACATATTAATAACTAGAAGCACAAATATGCTAAGATCCAGTTCATAAACACCAAAAAAAACACTTTAGCTAGGCACAGAAAAAGATGTACACAATAGTGGTTAGTTTTGTTACCAGAAAAAATGAGTGATCTTTTTTCTTATTTTTGCTATGAGCATGTTTAAAGTATGAAAAAAGTTTAAAATTGAGTGTAGCCTATAATTATGCAGATATAGTGTATCATGTGTGTTTTAGTAGGGAAGGATGCCTTAGACTAGAGACTGTCTTCAACCTTACAAATGTAACTTCTGCCTCATCCAATAATCTTAAGCAAGTTGGTTAACCCTTTTGTACTTGAGTTTCGTCATCTGTTAAATGAGGATAATAATACCTACCTTGATTTAACTTACAAGGCAGTGTGTAAACTGTAATTCACTGTAAGCTACATAGAAAATGGTGTTAATAATATTATTTATATTTGATGAATATGGAGATTAAGTATACAGCTGTGAAACCATCACCACTATCTATGCTATGAACATATCCATCACCTTCAAAAGATTTTTACTGCTGGGGTGCCTGGGTGGCTCAGTCGTTAAGCATCTGCCTTCGGCTCGGGTCACGATCCCAGGGTCCTGGAATTGAGCCCCGCATCGGGCTCCCTGCTCCACGGGAAGCCTGCTTCTCCCTCTCCCACTCCCCCTGCTTGTGTTCCCTCTCTCGCTGTGTCTCTCTCTGTCAAATAAATAAATTAAAAAAAAAAGTTTTCTACCGCCCACTTTGTTATTACTTTTTTGTGAAGGACACTTAAGACCTACGTTCTTAGCAGAATTTTATACAGTACAGTATTGTTAAATATAGGCACGATGCTATACAGTAGATGTCTAAGACTATTCACCTTGCATAGCTGAAACTTTGTACCCTTTGACTAACACCTCTCATTTCCTCCCCTACCCCAACGCCTGGCAACCATTACTCCACTTTCTGCTTCTAGGAGTTTGACTGAATACCTCATAAAAGTAGTATCATGCAGTATTTTTCCTTCTGTGTCTGGCTTATTTCACTTACCATAATGTCCTCCAGTTTTATCCATGTTGTTGCAAATGGCAAGATTTCCTTCTTTTTTTAGTACAGAATAATATTCCATTGTATATATATGATTTTTTTTAACGTAAATTCAGCGGAAACATTAGTTCAGTACTTTAAAAAATAACGCCTTTTACTTAGGAAAGAAAAAAGAAACAGAAGAAAAAGTTGCCTAGCAAAACACATTGCAAGGAAAGATAAATTATTCAACAAACATTGCCTACTATGTGCCAAGCTGGGATTGGGGTAGGGGATTATAAGAGTGAATAACACACAGTTACACTCTCAGGTACTTCATTCTGGTGGATGACACATGTCAGTCCCACAGACAGAATCATAGGCCACTGACCCTAGAAACTAAAGAGGCAAAGTGTCCCTACCAGGGCAGTAAACAGTCACGTTTGGCTATCAAAGATCAGCTGACCAAGGTACAGGATCTCTGCCTCACAGCAGTTCTAGTGGGCCAGTATCAAGGTATCAAGGTAACCTACAGCACTTTTACATAGCCTAAAGTGAAATTAGGAGATAAATTGGTTGGGGAATGCCCCATTCTTGAGGGGTTCCCCTGGTAAGCATAAGGGGGAATCCCCTTAAATATGGTAGAACCCCCAACAGCAAATGTAGGGGCTTAGGGGAGAACAGATCCCTGCTTGCTAGCAGGAGACTGGAAGGGGTGGGGGAATTCTTAAAAACTCCATTTACAGAACAGGAGATCCCCTTCTGTTACTCAAAGTCCCCTATTAGGGCTGTTTTGAGACATTTGTGAGTACTATCTTCTACTTTGCTTCTGATTCCATCTGCCTTAGGATTCAGAGAAAGACAACTGAATATATATTTATACACAATAAATGATAAAAATATAAATACATACACACACCACACAGTCACACTATTTGGTTGTTGGAAGTTCAGTAGTCCTAGATTTAAGTCATTTATTTGTACCATTTGAATCTAGTATTCATTCCTAATTAATCCATGTTTAAATATAATTCCAGACAGAAAACAAGTTGAATTTTACAAAATATAAGGTAAGATATATGTCTGAGGAAAACACAGTCCTGACACAATTCACACCATTAGGGATTCAAACACTTCTGGTGACTCTGGTGCTACCAGAAAGCAAAAAAAATAATACTAGCATAAACTCACATAATGCCTATTAGGTACTAGACATATAAGATGACAAGAAGCAAAGATACGCATTTAACAGTTTGGGAACGAAAACAATTTGTAAAGTTGAAATAAAAATTAAGTCCATTTTCACTTACCATTACCTTAATCCTAGATAAGCAATTAACTTCAGTAATTCTTCTCTCTTTTTATGGGGGTGGCAGTGGTGGTTAAAATACAATAAATAATGCATTTATTTGCAAAGTACCTGGAATTGAAAAAATGCGTTAAGGATAAAGTACAGTATTATTATAACATTCTTCTATATATTACATGGAAGCAGATATTATATGTGCCCAAGCAGGCAGAATCCTTTCTTCTCCAAGGTACAAATTAGGTAAGTGTCATGATTCTACTGTCTTAGATTTCCCAACAATTAAAACAAAGCAGGACACAAAGAAGAAGAAAAAACCCCACAAACAGTACCAAGTGAGGATCTTTATCAGAACTTCAAGCTGTTGATCACTGGTAGGCAGATGACAATATAATTATTACTGGAGAAATAACTCAAAGCCAAAGCCTTTCTGTGGCAGGTTATCAACATCATTCTTTACATTAAAATCATATTTCGTCTATAAGATACAACTAATACTTTTTGTTTGATATATAATACTGTTTATTTCTACAGACACTAAAATTATAGTGACTTAAGTGGAAGTTGCTTTGTATAATACAATCAACAGTATATATGAGTCTCGATGTGCATGCATGTGCTTATCCATTGAAAAACATTAATACTAATGGTATTTTATATGTCTGAGAAAATTTGTTTTTTAAAGTTAATCTTCAGAAACATACCATAGTCCATACTCCACATTACATAATCAAAGCTATAATATTTTTCTTATTTTAAAAATACAAATTTCGAGAACACAACCATAAAACTAGAGGGCCTAAAAGCTGTAACACATGCTCTTTATTAAACATATATAATTTTCCATTAATACGTAATGCAGACGATTAAAGCCTCTAACAATAATCTGTAAGTGAAAGAGTTTGTGCATATTTCCAATATTTTCTATGCACATCCTAACGTATTTAATGTAAAAAGTGTACCCTGCCATATAAATGCCCTTTTTCCCTTTTTCAAGAGTAATTGTCTTGACTATATTTCATATTAGTTTGTGATTAAACTTTTTTTTAAAGATTTTATTTATTTATTTGAGAGAAAGAATGAGAGAGAGAGCACATGAGAGGGGGTATGGTCAGAGGGAGAAGCAGACTCCCTGCCGAGCAGGGAGCCCGAGACGGGACTCGATTCCGGGACTCCAGGATCATGACCTGATCCGAAGGCAGTCGCTTAACCAACTGAGCCACCCAGAAGCCCCTATGATTAAACTTTTAATATTAATAAATTTCTTTAAAGTTAAAAAGCCTCACCATAGTTTGAGAACATCTTTTTTAAACCTGGAATAGGTTTGAATAAAAAATAAGATTTATTTCACATTTTAAAATAGTAAAACGAGTCTAAACACTTTAAATACTAGTTTATTTAAAATTTCAAGAATAGGAGTATAAGGGCTCTAAGTTGGAAAACTCGACCAAGATTATGAGTTTCCTTTCTAGCTCAATCTGTTCTTCTAATCATTCTAAATTCCATATGCAATGTAAACAATTAAAAAATAAATCTTAATAACTAATTCTTGCCTTTAGATACACAATCCTTGGAGTCGCACACAACGTCCGTATAAGCAGACTCCTCCCCGCTCCTGGGGAAAACCCTGCCTAATATTTATAACGTTATGACATACTGTAATACTCACAAGGTGGTTGTAGAAGTATAAACACGACTGGAGTTATCTGATTGGCTGGTGGTGATGTAACACCCATGTCAATACTTCCCAGTGAACGCACGTGTTCGACCTTTTATTTAAATTTCCATTTCATCACAGCAATAAGACACTCGGGGCGGTGCATTTTCTGTGAAATGATTATTGCCTTGGGCCTGAGGTGCTGCGTCGCACACACAATGCTGCAGACGAGGAGGTGTCGGTGGTTGTAACCTCCTTGTGTGAAAGGCACCGCCTGGTCCAGTCTTTGTGAAGGAACAAAATAAGTTCACTTCCTTGGGCACCGCCACCCACCCCTAGCAAATGACAAGGCTGGAGCGCAGCAGCCCCCACCGCACAGTTATTTCCAAAGTCCCAGGTGAACTCGTGGCGAGAGAAGGAAAATGTGCGTCCCGGGCGCGGGTAGGTGCGTGCGGGCAGCGGGGAGGCGGCCAGACCCTGACACTCGCCAGCTGTTTGTCCTCCGCGTAGCCCGGCCCCGGCCGCACACGCCCGCCCCCTCCCCGAGACCCCCAGCCAGCAGCTCGGCCTTTTGTCCCCCGCCCCTCGGCCGACTTCCTTCCCCCCCAGCCGCACCCCCGCCCCCAGGCCGGAGGCGCGGCCCAGCCCCTTTCCCGGTCCCCTGGCGCCCCCACCCCACCCCAGCCCAGCCCCAAGCCCAGCCCCCCTCCCCCAGCCCGGCCCCCACCCTTTCCCCCTCCAGCGGTTACTGCTACCCCGGTGCATTGTGGGCGCACGGTCCGTTGTTCATTTGCCATTCGACCTCCGCCAGGGCCTGGTCGGACGGAAACGCTCCGCCGGCTTTATTGTCGGTTCGTTATGTGGCGGAGCCCAGCAGTTTAACGTGCCTCTCGCCCTCAGCGCCTGGGAAGCCGGCGGCGGCGTCGGGACTCCTCAGCGCACCGGAGGAAGGATATCTGTTTGGAGGGTCGGTGTGTGCGCGCGGCTTTAAAGAGGGGGCAGCGGAGGGTCTCCCCGCACTCCGCCTCTCAACTTCGAAGGCCCCACGCGCCCTCGGCTCGCTGCTCACCTCTCCGCCGCCCGCCCCCTTCTCCGCGCGGGACGCTGCCCGGAGCACAGCGGGGCGGGGGTGGAGGACGAGGAGGCGGCCGGAGGCGGCGGCCCGGCGGGCGGCGGTGGACGCGTGAGGCAGCTCCGGGAGCGAGCGCGAGCCCGGCGGCCGGGCGGGAGGGCGAGGCCGAGCCCCGCGAGACCGGAACGCCGGGGGTGGGGGCGGGGGCGAAGCCGAGGGGGAGCGGCGGGGAGCGCGCGGGACGCGGCCCGAGGCCGGGCGCGAGCCGGGGCACCGGGCGGCGGCGGCGGCGCGCGCCATGTCGTTCAGTGAAATGAACCGCAGGACGCTGGCGTTCCGAGGAGGCGGGTTGGTCACCGCCAGTGGCGGCGGCGGCGGCGGCGGCAGCTCCACGAACAATAACGCTGGCGGGGAGGCCTCGGCTTGGCCTCAGCAGCCCCAGCCAAGACAGCCCCAGCCGCTAGCGCCTCAGCAGCTCAATGGGCGGGGGGCCGACGAGGAAGTGGAATTGGAGGGCCTGGAGCCCCAAGACCTGGAGGCCTCCGCTGGGGCGGCCGCCGCCGCCGAGGAAACCAAGGAGTTGCTGCTCCCCCAAGACGCGGGCGGCCCCACCTCGCTGGGCGGCGGTGGCGCGGGGGGCCCCCTGCTAGCGGAAAGGAACCGTCGGACTCTGGCCTTCCGAGGAGGCGGCGGCGGCGGGGGTCTCGGCAACAATGGCAGTAGCCGCGGCCGCCCCGAGACCTCGGCGTGGCCCCTGAGGCATTTCAATGGGCGAGGGCCAGCGGCTGTGGATCTGGAGCTGGACGCGCTGGAGGGGAAGGAGTTGATGCAGGACGGCGCGTCCCTGAGCGACAGCACCGAGGACGAGGAGGAGGGGGCGAGCCTGGGCGACGGCAGCGGGGCGGAAGGCGGCAGCTGCAGCAGCAGCAGGCGGTCGGGCGGCGATGGCGGGGACGAAGTGGAGGGCAGCGGTGTGGGAGCTGGCGAAGGAGAGACTGTCCAGCACTTCCCGCTCGCGCGGCCCAAGTCCCTAATGCAGAAGCTACAGTGCTCCTTCCAGACCTCTTGGCTCAAAGATTTTCCCTGGCTGCGGTATTCCAAGGATACTGGCCTTATGTCCTGCGGCTGGTGCCAAAAGACCCCAGAGGACGGGGGAAGCGGGGACCTTCCTCAAGTGGGGCACGATGAGCTTTCGCGAGGGACCCGAAACTACAAGAAAACCCTTCTTCTGAGACACCACGTCTCTAATGAGCACAAACTCCACGAAGCCAACGCCCAGGTACAGTATATCCTGCTCCTACTTTTTCGGATCTTTTAGGGAAAGATTTATCAGGCAAAAAACACTTTTCTTGGGTGAAGGCATCGTTCCAGTTGTGGAATTGCGGGGAGCTGATACGTGGGGGTTTAGAAAGCCTGAGAACGAGTTTTCAAAAGTTATCTGTGTTGGGGGGTGGGGGATGGAATGACAATTTTCTAATCGTAGCGCTGAATTTATTTTTAATGATTCCTTTTTTTGCCCATCAGATTTTTTAAAAAGTTTAAGAAAGCGAGGTTAAAGGTTTTAAGCCCTAAAAAGTGGACTTTACGGTCAAAAATCTTACTAGCTGTGATTTTTAGAAAAGCTGCCTTACGTTTCGGTCTTTCCAGCATGCTGATGGAAGTCAAATCTGGCGACTCTTTTAAGAATGAATTAAAGAATTCCCTTAACCTTTGACGCTAACCCTTTCAGGAAAACATTCAGCTGAGAAAATTTCTTTATTATCAGGTCAGGATAATGTGAAATATGATAGCAGTATGTAAATGTAGAGGAAGCTATTTGGATAACACTCCTTGGGAATTATTTTACTAAATTCATTTCCCTTGAACTTTCTGTTGAACTTTCTCTTACCAAAGGCATGCTTTGGTAAACTACTGGAGTTTTTACTTGTTTCCTTCTACCCAGATTCTTGCGCTGAGATTTTCTATAGTCCTCCCTTTTTTAAAAAAGTTCCTTGTAAATGCAGTTTACTTTAAACTTTGCATATTAAGGATGTTGCCTGTGATGTTACTTCTATCAGGTAGTAGGCTGGTAGAGAATATATTTACTAAAGTCCTTGAAAACATAAGTCTTTAGTTACAAAACAGGTAAGCTATACTTCAGTTATTTCTTGTTTTAATATTTCCAGTTTAAAGATAGTAGGCTTACCATTTTGGTGATCCTTTTTCAAGCCAAAAGAGACGATGTTGAGCAGTTCTTGTTTTAAGTCTTTCAGACAACCTGTGTGGAAGATGGAATTCATTCTTTTGTTTTGGTAGCCAGTCACTGATTTTAGAAAGTCAACTTTTGGATATTAGTCCCTCTGTTTATTGGAGTGATCTCGCT